ATTTTTATTTTACAAAAAAATAAAATCTTCTCTTAGTTCCTTTTATTTCTCACACACCGACTCAAAACCCTAGCTAATTTTTTCTTGATTTTATCGATTATGTGAAATTAATAATTTTTGATAGCTTAAGATTCACATAACACGGTTTAATTTTGCACTAATTACTTCGTAACGAAGACAAAATTCATCAAAGAGACATAATACATGTGTAAATCTTGTACACAAACATGTATATAAAAACTAGAGCAAAATATTATACTCAAAAGAATTTGAAACTAACAAATGGATACTAGATTATGATTACCAATAACAATAAAGCAAGAACAGAAAAAAAAAAACCAATCAGTACTAACTAGAGCTAGCCTGAAGCTTGGAGGTGCGATTCACAAGGGTAGACAAATTTAAGGCAAAGAATATGCAATAACTTTTTGCGGAGATATGAGTAACAGAGAAGACATGAAGATGTAAGAGAGAGAGGAATGAAGAAAAATAGAAAGAACGGCAAAGAGCAAAATATATCCTTGTACTATGAGAAAAGATTTAAATATATCATTAATTATATTTTGAGTCCAAATATATCCTTGCCGTAATACTATTGGTTCAAATATACCCCTCTTCTATTAAGTTTGTCTAAAGTGGACATGCAATCTTACGTGGTACTGATATTTGATGAGGTGGATGTCACATGGCATGCCACCTCAGCGCCCCTAGTCCATATATAAAAGACTAAAATTTGAAATACAATATTTTTCACGGTAGCGGTAATGGAGGCAATAATGGTGGAGGAGAAGAAAATTTTAGTGGTGGAAAGAATAGAAGGGAGGAGTAAAATGGGTTTGGGGCGCTGAGGTGGCAAGCCATGTGGCATCCACCTCATCAAATGTCAGTGTCACGTATGATTGAATATCAATTTTGGACAAATTTAACGAAAACGGGGTATATGTGAACTAATAGTATAACGACATGAATATATTTGAATTCAAATTGTAACGAGAGGTACATTTAAACCTTTTTTGATAGTATAAGGTACATTTGGCCCTTTCCGTAGAGACAATCATAGACCAAACAAAGGAGAAGAATCACGAAAATGGAAGTGAAATGGAAGATGTCCCACATAAATAAAAAGGTAGACAGCTCTTCTGAGAAAAAGAAAATTGTGGGATTGCAATTTTAACTACAATACACGTGACTACAACTATGGAGGCTTGTGATGCTGATAGTTGTAGAGCTTTAAAATGGGAAGAAAGTATTATCAAATTGTCGATGAGGATTGGGGATGGATAGGTTGGTAATTAGTTTTAGTTAAATAAGTATATTTTATAGGAAATCTTATCTAAAAGTCCGAGGTAAGTTTCAACTTTCCATCTCTAGTCATTAATCATTAGACTTACTAAAACTAGTCAAGCACATAAAAAATTGTAAACTCAAATAAATAAGGTTCTTTTTCTCCAAAAATCACACGCAAAGATCTCCTTCCATATTTTTAAGCGTGATCAACAACATTAGACGCAAGGCAGGAAGAAATTTTATGGATGAGATAACAAACAAGGTGATGAAATACAAAAATATATATACGAGATTCCAAAAATCTAAGCAAAAAAAAGATCTTTTTCAATGTGTATGGTTTAAAATTATTGAAACATATAGATGAATCAATATACAAATTTTGAGGAAGATTGTAGGTGATTTGGACTAATTTGGTATCAAAATTCATAGTTAAAACTGAGTTCAAAAAATTATTTTGTGACACATGTATCACACATACATGGATATACATGTGATACAAATATGATACATATTTGATACTTTGATACACATTGTGATACACATTATTTTTTTCATGTTTCATCTTCTACTTCGAATTTTCAATTCAAACTACCTCAAAACTCCGCCAAATCATCCCAAAACTGAGATTCAAACTCTTTAAGATGTACCCAATCTATTCTAATAACACTCACTTAAAAGAAAGTAAAATTTAATTTTTTTTTCTGCTACAAATAGCTAATTGGTTAATATTAGAAGTATTTGGCTAATATAAATAATATTTAATAAATTGGCCTATTTTTATAACAAGCTATTTATAAATGGACATAGCTGGTAGTTTCCTTACTTTTTAACAAGTTTAAAATAGGGTAAAAATCAGTAAACATTTTGATTTTTATAGTAGTTTGCATGGATACCTCAAATTAAAAGGCTGATTGATCAATGAGTTTTCTAATGGAGCCTTGATTATTTTTGGGCTTCTTGACCTACCCAATATCTGGAGAGAAATTTGGCGAAAATGACAAAAATGTTCCTTTGAGGGTAGATTCAAAGAAATCCTTAAAACATCTTTTGAGCAGTTTAATCCGTTAATTTTGTATTAGAAAATAGATACTTTTGATCATTGTTAAATATTTAACAAATTATGCTTATCAAAATTAAAAGGAACTGCCAAAAAAAGACTAGTATGCAATAACCAAAGATCCCCTAAGTGGCTTTTACTTTAAATTTAGCAGCAAAATAAAAAATTGAACACAAAGGACATGTTGGTTCAAGGGGTGGCTGTAGTGGATAATCAGGTCTGCCCTTTGTGCAATATGGCTATTGAGACTATTGAGCATTTATTTTTTTGAATGTGAACTATCTTTCTAAAATTTGGTGTAAACTAGGGGTGTTCATAAAACTCCGAAAAATCGAATCAAACCGATCAAAAAAATCAATACTTTCTAGGTTTGGTTTGGTTTTTGTTTTGAATTTTAAAAACCAATCAAATTTGGTTTGGTTTTGGTTTTAATTAAAAAATAATCAGGAAAAACCGAACCAAACCGACTATAGAAGTATCTATTTAAATTTATTATTATACCTATATATATATATATATATATATATATAAAGTTTCTAAAATTTTATGGTACATATTAGTCGTTTGTATTTTTTTTCTAGTTTTTTGCTATTATAATAATCTAATTCTTTGCCTTTACATTCTAGTTTGATTGGTAGTTTTCTTTTGCTAAGTACAAGAATTTATTTTATGTTAAAAATAATTAATTTTTAATTGAGTACTTAAATTATTCATCACTATTTGATTCAATTAAGTGTATGTCTCATATTTAAGGAAAAAACCTGATAAATAACCGGAAAAAAACAAAAAACCGATAAAAAACGAATTGATAAAAAACTGACTTAATTGGTTTGGTTTGGTTCTAATATTTAAAGAACCGACTCACTTGGTTTGGTTTATTTTTAGGAAAAAAACGATCCAAACCGAACCATAAACACCTCTAGCGTAAACTACTTCAATGAGAAGGGATGCTTAGGCGTGTATTAATGATCTGGCAAGGTTGGGCAGAAACATAAATGAGAGAGAAGAATGATACTGCTGAAATAAACAGAACGGCAATGGCAGGATGTACCTATTACATTTGGTATTAAAGAAATCAAAGGATATTTCAAGTCAAACAAGAAAGTATTTGGATGATAATTAGACAAGTAATCTAAGATGTGTTTTGTAGATGAATATGAAGCCCAAGTTAGCAAACAAGCTGGGAAAGCTTAACTAAAGTTCTACCCTTAGAATAGCAACTGGAACACACTTGTATAACTAGTTTTTGGGTTGATTCTTTTGTTGTTAGGCTAAGTACTGAAGTTGGGGCTTTCTGTCTAATTTTTAGTGTTTTAGTTTTTGTTATGTCTTGTACATTCTTTCATGTTACCGAAAAAATGTATCATTCTTTTAAATTGTATAATTTAACATTTTATGATAATATTAATTACTAGTATTTTATTAGATTGTTAATTAATACTTCATATTTATCATTAAAAAATTACTTTATAACTATCAAGAAGCACCTTACAGAGTAAGGATTTTAAGATAACTCGAAGTAAGACTAAGTACATACATTACAAGTTTAGTCAACATGAGAAGAGTGAAGTTGAGGTGAGACTACAGAAAATTGCAGTGCCAAAATGTAAACAACTTAGATATCTAGGCTCATTGTTTCAAGAGAATGGAATGATAGACGAAGATATTACTTATAGGATTAGAGTGGGATGGTTGAAATGGAGAAACGCTAGGGGTGCTATGTGATAGAAGGATGTTTGTAAAGGCAAAATGTAAGTTTTATAGAATAGTTATAAGACAAACTATGATATATGGTAGCGAATGTTGAGATGCTAAAGTTTAACATATTCGTAAGATGAGCATAGCAGAAATGCAAATGCTAAGATTTGTGCGGTCACACAAGATTAGATAAGATAAAAAAATAATCGCATTCTCTAGAAGGTGCAAGACACATTGAGAATAAAATGAGAGAAAGTCGCTTGAGATGGGTTGGTCATGTCCTGCATCTGCCTACGGATATACCAATTCGTAGGTGTGAAACTATGATGGGGCCCGAGAAAGTATTAAAATGGGACGGGGTAGACCTAAAATCACATGGAAAGAAATTGTCTAGAAAGACCTACAAATCCTTGGAATCAATGCAAATTTAGCTAGAGATAAGACATAATGGAAGAGGAAAATCTATATGGGTAATACCTACTAGTTGGGAATAGGTTTTAGACTTGGCAGAAAACTTCTCTTATTATTATTATTGCCATTATTTATATATATTTATCTTTTTTACTTGCAATTTTATTTTTTATGGTAATAATAATGATATGAGCTGAACTTAATAAAAGGAACGTGAATCCATATTGCTGATGCCAATTTATTTCGACCTGATGTATAGTTATTGTTGTTGTATAATTAATGGAATTGAGTTAATGACACTATAGCATATGAAAGTAGAGCTTTAAGCTTTCTTAAAATTACCCATATGATTGGCGAACAAAGGAATACGATTAGATCTTTTTCTATAACAGCATCTCTATATAATAATAACACTTTGCTATAATAATATATGTTCTTTATAATAGCGTTTAGATGGAACAACTAAAAATTATTCGGAACAAATGTAGGGGTTTGTTACAGAAAGGTTTTAATGTATAACCATTCCTGAAAAGTACAAGAAAATCCAACAAGTCAAACGGTAAACCAGAAAAACCAACAGGGCCGTTGCCATTGTCACCTGATCTTTGTCTAGATTTAGAAAGTGTAGAGAGTAAAATCTTTTTCATCTCTCTCCTCAACGCCATCATCATCATTCAACACCTTTTCTTTCTATCTCTCTGTGAAAGTATATTACGCCTTTGCCTTTCTTCATTTCCGCATATTCTGTCTGCAAAAGAATTATCAGATTTTCTGCAATCAAATCTCAAAAGCTTCAAAAAGTTACAGACAGAGAGAGAGAAAGAGAAGGGAAAAAAAAAATTGCAGCCCATTAACTGCAATTATTATTCCCTCCCTTTTTCCTTTCTTTCTCTCTCTCTCTGTCTTTTATATTTGCCAGCTCGTCTTCTCTTTTCTGTTGTACCCTTTTCTTTATTCTCTCTCTATCAACACGTTCACAAAGATCTCCTGAGGTGCATTTGACTCTTCCCGTATTTTGATTAATTCTGGTTGATCTCTTGTTTATTGGATTCTATTTGATAACTACATTTTAATATAATTTTTTGTTTAGAGTTTGTTGTTTTGATTTGGTTTTTTGTTGTTTAATTGGTTAATGTTGGTCTTGTTTATGTTAATCTAATGAGTAATGATGTGGTTTCTTCATTACTCTAAGTTTATGTATTGATTGATTAAGCAATTATCATTTGATATGAAGAATATGTTTGGTCTGTCAATCTTTTGAAATTGGTTATTGACTTTTAATGCTGGTTTTGAGGTTTTCTTGTGGTTTTAGAGTCTAATTCTGGAAGTAGGATGTTTTATTAGCTAAATGTTCCATGCAGCTGTGGTTATTAGCTATGCTTGAATCGGATCCTCCAAAAGTAGTACATTTTGGAGGATCCGACACGAATGCGGCATTTATTTTTTTGGAGAGTTTGAGCAACATTAGTTATTAGGTAATCTCACAATAGATCATTAGTTGTTGGGGGTGCATTTTAGGGTAAGAAAAATATGGTTTTCCTAACTTTGAGTTCTAATGCAGATTAGTTTAGATGCAAATATTACTGATATAACAAGTTTCTTGCCTTGCTTGTTGGGAGGAGGGGGGGGAGAAAAATAAAGCTTTGCCGATGCCATTTATTGCACATGTACACACCCAAAACATAGCGTAGCAACTAAAGGTTAGGAATCTGAGAGCCATATTCTTGGAAACTTGTCTGGCTTTTCTAGACTGGCTGAGGAGCAGATAAATCCATATCTGCAGTATAAATGACATTCTGAAGAATGAAAGAACTTGATTGCTTAAATGACCTACATTGGACTGAATTTATTGGAATTTGGATGGAATGATGACAATGAATATATCAGATTGCAGAACAATAAAGACAACCAAATTCCTAGATAGGTTTCAGGGTCATGCATCTTTTTTAAAGGGGATCTCTTTCTCCTACCAGGCTAGGCTTATTCAATAGTGGACGCAATGAGTTGGCCCGTGACTCATGCTCCCCCTACCTGCATTTATTGGTGGACTAATTGAAAGTATCAATTTTTATAGGCTACTGTTGAATGTGATGGGTCAAGTAAAAGCTCGAACTTCGAGAAGCGCTCTTGAAAGTAAGGTACAAGATTAGACAAGATCAGAAATGTAATAGTTGATGGAAGGTACAAGTAATATACATGAGGATAAAAAGAGATAAGGTCGCATGAGATGGTTTGACCATGTTCTACGTAGAATTCCAAATGTACCACTCAATAAGTGTGACATTATGATGATTGGAAGTATTAAAAAGGGATAAAGTATACCTATAATCATGTGAAGAAACTTGTCTGAAAAAGCACACTATCTCTAAAAATCCAGTTATGCTACAAAAAGTACTTTGATTAAAGTTTAGTCAGATTGGTAAGTTGTATTAGGTCTAGTACTTTTCAGAAATTATTTTAGCGTGCTTAGAGAGTTGTATATTAGTAGAAAATGTAGGGAACTTCTAGTGTTAAAGTGCCCCTAATTTGTTTCTAAAGATAACATATCGAGTATTGATATGAAACAGGACCAAGTGGAGCAAAGTGGATATTGATTATCCACTCGAACTAGTTAGGATTGAGACTCTGTTGTTGTTACTTGTTAGTGTTGCTGTTGACTGTGATTGAGGCTAACATATGAAGATTTTGATTAAATTAGTGGGTCCGACAATTGGTACCTTCAAGAATAAGTTTTACGACGACAAGTTGGGAACTGGAACTATATTATGGCTTCAGATGTTTCCTATAGTGAAGATTCACTTCTGTATACACACGCACACACACATGAAGATGATGTTTGTTGTGCTGGCTATTTAGTGAAGTCCTGAATTTGTTGCTGGGATGGTAATGAAGTGTTTTTCTGTACCTAAAGCTACTCTTTCTCATGTCCATTTTGGCTGTGCAGTTGGTGTTCAGAATATCGGCATAGCTGAAGTTAGGAGCTTCAACAATCTAATTTCTTTTTCTTCCTCAAAAGAAGCTGTAACAGGAAAGATTTTGCATCATGTCTAACTCTATTAAAGCCTTAGAACCTGCATTTCAGGGTGCGGGTCAGAGAATGTATCCTTTGCTGCAAAAATCTGGTTCTTGATTGATTACATGGAAGTAAGTTTGAATTGAGTATTGATCAGTTTTGAAACACTGTTGGGATTTTCTCAGCACCCTGCCTTTATGGAGGGTAGGCTGAAGACCTATAAAAAGCAAAAATAAATAAAGGGTACACTGAGCTTTTCCGTAAATGTTCTGGACCTTTTATGTTCATTATTTCCACTGCCAAATATAGCTGCGAGAACTTTTTAAACTTGAGAGTTATGTTAATTGTTTTACTGCCAAATGTGGCCTATAAGAACTTTCCAGACATTAGAGTTGAGCTTAACTCTATCTAGAGGGACCGAAATTTGGAGAATTGAGGATTTCCAACCAGTTCCATTGCAGAAGTCTGAATATGGTAAATTCTACTCGGGTGATTCTTACGTCATCTTGCAGGTGCATAGATGCAAAAATCTTTGGCTTTGCATGTACCTCCTTTACCTAGGGAGAAAAGTTTCATTCATGTCTAATATTCCTACTCCTATCGCATGTTCATTTATAATTGCAGACAACTTCAGGTAAGGGAGGTTCTTATATGTATGATATACACTTCTGGCTTGGAAAGGATACTAGTCAGGTGTGAAATCAATCTTCACTCTTGGCAGCTATTTAACCAGATTTATATGTTTTTGCCATTTTTAAAATTTGGATGCTATGTCAGGATGAAGCTGGAACTGCAGCTATCAAAACTGTTGAGCTTGATGCGATTCTTGGAGGGCGAGCAGTACAGCATAGGGAAATCCAAGGTCATGAATCTGACAAATTTTTATCATACTTTAAGCCATGCATTATACCATTGGAAGGTGGTATTGCATCTGGATTCAAGAAACCAGAAGAGGAAGAATTTGAAACTAGGTTGTATATCTGCAAGGGTAAACGCGTTGTCAGGATGAAGCAGGTACAGAAGCATACAAAACTTACTGCATGAGCTTGTTTAGAATATTTAATCTAATTCAATTGTGGTTGAAGATCACATATTTAAGCTGAGATTTGTATCAGGTCCCATTTTCCCGGTCCTCTTTAAATCATGATGATGTGTTCATTCTGGACTCAAAGGACAAGATATATCAGTTCAATGGTGCAAATTCTAACATCCAGGAGAGGGCCAAAGCACTAGAAGTTATTCCGTTCTTGAAGGACAAGTATCACGAGGGAACGTGTGATGTTGCAATTGTTGGTAAGTACTAAGTACAAGCCTTGAAAAATTTAAAGATAAGAAAGTGAGCAAGTAATACATATTTTTCATACTCCTTCGGTCCCAGGTTAATAGTCCTAGTTTGAGTTTGTTGTTGAAACTCCTTTTTCTAGCCTTCAAATAATTCTTAGTCTATTTGTTTTTTTGCAACTAAAACATGTCTATTTGGCAAATTTCTATAATATTGTATACGTCCTACCATGAATTTTTTGTATTTAGAAATTATGGGTCAAATTTCATTCTAAAGTTTGGTAAATTTAACTGTCAAAGTTAAAGCAGGACATTTAGAGTAAGTAATCCTAAATGTTATGCATAAACTTTAGTGTGTCTACATGATATGGATCTGTAAATTATGAAGCTTCAAATGATTCAATCAACTAGAATAAGGGATAAAATAGCTTATCAAATTCGAGGGAAAGTTCTATTTGAATTTATGTCATCACCTACAAAGTTATATGATTTCGACAGAGATCATATGTATCTGTTTTTGATATATGTCATGTTTCGAACGTAATGAAGATCTTCAAACGTTTTCTTTACTTTGTTAATATTCTATGGTGTTCATGTGGGACTGCTCCTTATATCTATTGCATACCCCCAGATGATGGGAACTTACAAGCTGAGTCGGATTCGGGATCATTCTGGGTGCTCTTTGGTGGCTTTGCTCCAATTGGCAAAAAGGTTTCTAGTGAAGATGATATTGTGCCCGAGAAGACACCTGCGAAACTTTATAGGTATCATCGAATTCTGCTGTCCTATACTTGTCTTTACTGTTTAAGGTAGTTACGTAACCATTAGTCCATCAAGTTAAGCCAATTTATATTATTCCATCAGATGGATATGAATGAATTATGTAAAGTCCATGTTTATTGCCAGTAATTATAGTGGTAATGTTATGGTCTCAAGCTTATGACACTTAATACAAAGTATTCAAAACTTCCTTGGCTAACCTTTTACTGCTGGATAGTACTTCTTTCCACTAAAAAGGATCTTTATACTTGAATTGGTCTAGTTAATTTTTATAATATTTTGCATATCTACGTTTATTGCATCCCCAGTGCTTGCTACTTTCTCATCATTGAACTTTTAAATCAACCTTTGCTGGTGTTGGTGCTAAAGTTGAATTTTTTCCTCTTTTTGTAGCATAAATGATGGTCAAGTCAGTCCCATGGATAGTGAACTATCAAAATCCAGCTTAGAAAACAATAAATGCTATCTTTTGGATTGTGGTGCTGAGGTATTTATTTGGGTTGGACGTGTAACTCAACTGGAAGAGAGGAAAGCTGCCATTCAAGCTGCTGAGGTAGAATAATAGCTTTTAACTCCAGATTTTTCTTTATGGTAAAATTTCTCATAACTGAATAACTAAACATATCAACAGGAGTACCTTACCAGTCAAAATAGACCAAAGTCAACACATGTAACCCGACTTATTCAAGGCTATGAAACACATTCATTCAAGTCCAACTTTGACTCTTGGCCTTCAGGGTCTGCACCAGCCGCTGAGGAGGGAAGAGGAAAAGTAGCAGGTAGACTAGTTTGAAACTTGTAGAATTGATATTTGTTCGTTGGAAGTAGTTTTATTTGACATTGTCGCATTTATACAGCTTTGCTGAAGCAACAAGGTGTTGGTGTTAAAGGTGCTAGCAAAAATGCTCCTGAAAATGAGGAAGTCCCCCCGTTGCTTGAAGGGGGTGGAAAAATAGAGGTCTGATCATCATTATGATATCCCTTTGATTATAACTCGTCCTTTGATATTGCTTGCTTGGTCTTCGCTAAAAGTGTATGATTTTACTAGGTCTGGCGCATCAATGGCAGTGCAAAGACCCCTGTGCCCGGAGATGATATTGGTAAATTTTACAGTGGAGATTGCTATATAGTTCTTTACACATACCATTGTAATGACAGGAAAGAAGATTATTATCTATGCTGGTGGATTGGAAAGGATAGCGTTGAGGTAATGTATATTGTCACTGCACTATAAGGGTCTACACATCTTTTCCTATTATTAGTACATCAATTGACATGCCATTTTAGACATAAGGATGAAACTTCATCAAATGTTATTAATTATATCTAAAAATGGTATGCTCATAAATAGAGATAAGAAACAAAGGTCCACAGTCTTGTTATTTTCATGTAATTGAATTGGATCTGTTTGGATGACCTTGTAAAATCTTTCTTCCCTACTCCTTGTTGTAGACTCGAAAAAGGTTGAGAAAGGAAACAGAAGTGAAAATGTAATGCCATCATATAAGAATTTCATCTTTTGTGAATTAGCTTCATAGATTTAAACTTGCTATGAATATGCCTCATCTGACAAGCACAGAGATTTAGAGAAGAAAATTTGTAGAAATGTCTAATATAATAGTTGAAAATTGAAATGCATAAATTTAAGGTATTATGTCTTAAGAATGTCAGGTACCACAAAAAGTAATATAGAGCTATAGTAGTTCTTTATGTTAGTTTGAATTGTTGGAGTTTGGTGAACTTTTCCTTTTAGCTAAAGCAGAAAAGTAAAGCAGAAGGGACTGAAAAGAAAGTGAATTTGGGATTGATGGACTATTTATTTCCACATTGTAGTTTTTTCTTCTTTATTTCATGTATATGATAAACTTGAAGACTTTATCCAGTCCATTGTATGTTGTGGATTCAGGAGGACCAAAACATGGCTGCTAAATTGGCCAGTACAATGTGCAATTCACTTAAAGCGAGACCGGTGCTGGTATTACTTCTTGACAACTCTTCTTTTCTTACTAGAAAAGTGTAAGAGGTTTTAGTATGACCTGTAACATTATCCAGGGTCGCGTATATCAAGGGAAAGAACCGCCACAATTTGTTGCAATCTTCCAGCCCATGTTGGTCCTTAAGGTACCGCTTATTCATTGTAATGCAGGCTACTGCTGTAGGATGTAATTTATCATATTTAATAAACCATAATGAATTTCTATCATTTCTCAGGGTGGATTAAGCTCTGGTTATAAAAGTTATATTGCAGACAAGGGCCTGAATGATGAAACTTACACTGCTGATTCTGTGGCACTGATTCGATTATCTGGAACTTCTGTGCATAACAACAAAGCAGTTCAAGTTGATGCTGTATGCTTACTAACCCTTTTAGATTCTTCTGGTTTTGGGTTACTATGTAATAAATTTTATTTTAGTAGTCGGGCTGATAAGGTCATTCTTTATATCTAGGGTATGTGTTTCCCTATTTACTGTTGTGGTCAGTTCTTCTTTGTTACATGCATTAGTTGTATATTAGAGCCTCTCTTCAAGTCATAGCCTATTTTCAGAAGCCCATAACCCGCCTCTAGATTTCTTGCATCAAGAGGTGCATAAGGCAACTGTGCGCATTCCCACTTCTTCTGAAAAGAACAAAACTATAACAGTGTTCTGATTAGTATGTGCAAAATACTTGAGTAGTTAAACTTACAATCTACACAAGGTATGCAGAATAAGGCTCAACTAAGTACTCAATCAGGCAATAGGAGATCAAGTGTCCTCAAATTCAAATTTAATGTGTTGTTATTAACGACAGAGACTGGAGAGGCATGTCTTGTTGTCCATGCAACTTGATTGGCTTAGTGTATGACTCTGTTTTCTAATGCTTACCAACTTAAACTTGCAACAGTAATTAGGACAACAAGTTATAACGAACTCTACTGTGAACTTATGATAGTAAATTTAAAAACTGGATTACTAATTTTATCTTTTTGTTTCTAAACTTTGTCAGGTGGCAACTTCACTGAACTCTAATGAGTGTTTTCTTCTGCAATCTGGCTCTTCAGTATTTAGTTGGCATGGAAATCAGAGTACCTATGAGCAGCAGCAATTAGCAGCAAAAGTTGCAGAATTCTTGAAGGTGAGAACTTTTCTTGAATTTGAGAACGTGCTTTCTTTTTAATTGTTCTTTCAACTTAGAAGGGCCTGATCTTTTAAGTTCTGCTATACAAGGTAATAACCTACTCTAAATGGAAAAATTGGATCATTTTATCCTTCCTTGACGAAAATCGTTAAGAATTTGCGACATGGATAGTAATTAAAATGTGTTTCTTCGTTGTTCTTTTCAAATTAGAAGGGCCTGATCATTTAAGTACTCATATACAAGATGGTTACCTACCCTGAATGGAAAGGGTGTTCCATTTATCATTCCTTGACGAGAATTGTTAGGAATTGTTATATAGATAGTAATTGTTTTAAGGGAAGTGCTCTAATGGCCTAATGGTGATATTTCCATTGTCAAGATCTAGCTTCCCTTGTTATGTGTTTTGGAAAATCTGGCTATGCAGTTGTACATGGGATTTGCGTTTTTATCTCTGTTGGTGCCTGATGAGGATGCAATCTTCTTTTTTGATGAAAACCTTGTTTTCAGACGTGATGAGATGTTGCTGTGTATGTGAAATGTGATTTCCTTAAAATACACTGAAGAAAACACATTAAAATTTTTAAGAACCTAGTTCGATCAAATTATAGTCACCAGGGTGTGAACTTGTGATACAAGTCCTTCAGTGACCCAAATCCTTTAAATACAACCTCCACTTATATAGCCAGCGCGGCAATCAAACATAGTACCCATTATACTGAACTTTTTCCAAATAAACAGTGGTAAAAGTTTGAAGTGATTGCACGAACGCCTCTCCAGCTGACGTATGTCCTGTTTGTCCGCGTTAGCTAAGTGTATCCTATATTCCTATATGTCCTAGTTTATTCTGCGTTTGTCTGATTGCTATTGGTTTTCTTCAACTCAGCCAGGAGTAACTGTGAAACACGCTAAAGAAGGAACAGAGAGCTCAACTTTCTGGTTTGCTCTTGGAGGAAAACAAAGTTACACCAGCAAGAAAGTAGCTTCAGAGGTCGCCAGAGATCCCCACTTGTTTGCTTATTCATTTAATAAAGGTGCTCCCTGATCTCTTAATTTCATCAGATTCTTGATTGCAAATAAGAAAGTGTGTGTGTGTTTTAACTTTGTTAGATATCTCCTTTTTTTTTTCTTTTTTTTTTCTTTTGGTTAATTAGAAGTGTTCTATGCTAACTATCTTTTCTATTGATTTTCATGCAAACATGTGGATATCCAGGAAAGTTTGAGGTAAGGTCCTAGAGTACAAAATTAAGCTTTTTAATACATGAAGTGCTCGTATATCTGGTTTAATTTTTGCTTTAATCATTTGATAGATTGAAGAAATCTACAACTTCTCTCAAGATGATTTATTGACTGAGGATGTTTTATTACTTGATACACATGCCGAAGTGTTTGTTTGGGTTGGTCAGTCATCGGATCCCAAAGAAAAGCAAAGTTCTTTTGAAGTTGGACAGGTAATACACTGTATCATAAGCATTTGATAAGTGCGTTTCTGTTCTTAATTATGCTTCACTAACCATTGAAGTCCCGCAGAAATACATCGAGATGGCTGCATCCTTAGAAGGGTTGTCTCCTCATGTTCCACTGTATAAAGTCATGGAAGGAAATGAGCCTTGCTTCTTTACAACATTTTTCTCCTGGGATCCTGCTAAAGCTATCGTAAGTGACTACACCTCTCTTTTGGTCATCCTGTTCCAGAACTTTATTATATAAAGTTTGAATTGACATTCATGACACTATTTGAATAACATCAGCCACTAAGGGATGGGAAGGTCTCTTTATGTGGTCTTGAGCAATCCTCACCTCACGAGGTAGCTTTTATGGTTGAGTTAGGCCCAAGGTCCATTTATCAACATGAAACCATTGCATCGATCATCTTTTAAGCTTTTTATAAACTTTGGAAGGGGGATGGAACTTGGAAAATGGTGTAACAACTCAGCCCGCTAGTGATATTCTCCACTTTGGGCCTAAGCTTGTGTGGCTTCAACAATCATCACTAGGTTTTAAGGCTTTTTTCTTTATATACCCAGACACTCCTGTATTTTACCGATATGGGATTTGCCTAAACTCAATTGAGAGCTGAGGTTTATCCCACCATCACCCAATATTGCACGGGGGATCTGATATCATATGCACCAGCCCAGTCCACTAGTGATCTCGTCCGCTTTGGGCCTAAGCTTTAGCTCGCCCAACTTTAGAATGCGTCACTAGGATCTAAGGCTTATTTCTTTATGTACTCAGCATCTCTCCCATGTGTTTTTTCCCGATATGGAATTTTCCTAGGGTGCTATAGATGGTACACGAGCTAGTGCATAGCATAAACTGCCACAGAACTAGCCAAGCTTGTAATAAGCAAAATATTGTAATTGTGAAAGAGAAAGTCCCTAAACTAATAACCATAGACACAAGCCAGTAAAAGATACTTGGTGTATGCAGTAAATTTCTATTGATATACTGGGACTAAGAAAAGACATAAACTTGTCATATGCAAAAGGATTTTGTTATAGAAAGGTAGGAAGAAATTTGCAATAGCAGTATAGTTTTAAATGTCTCAACTTGTTTGGGACTGAAATAGTTATTGTGGTATGGTATTAAAGGGAAAATCCAATTTGTGCGGGTATGTGAGATAATATAGAGAACCATCTCTTTCCAAATTTAACGTGTAGTTAGGTCAACCGACTTCTCTTTGGTCCTCAACTTCTCGATTGCTAGCGGACATCCATTTTTTGTCTCATCAAATATGTTGCAATGTTTTCTAGTTCTGGTAAAGGATTCTGACATACGTTATTCAACATACCTATTTAATCAGGCACATGGAAACTCGTTCCAAAAGAAGGTTATGCTACTCTTTGGGGTCGGTCATGCTTCAGAGGTAACTAGATTTCATGAAAGCAAGATGTATTTCCACATAATTTCTTTGTGCTTCTGTGCAAATATTTTCCATTATAGACATTTCAAATCATCTGAGTTTCAGGAATCACAAACTCTAATTAATATTTCTTTCGGAGACCAACATATCATCATTTTATCATGCTTTCCTCCAACTTAAGCTGCCCATACTAGAACCATATTCAACGAAGTTAGTTACATTTTCAGTTGGTATTCCTAGTTCCCAAAGCTTCATATTTCTGTCACTGGTTCTCTTTACGATATTGTTAGAACTGTACTATCATGGTTATTAGTTGTGGAAAAGTTGATTCTGTATATTATCTGTCCAAGCTTCCATGCATTTTATAGAAGATCTTTTGCTCTATATTTCAGAATCAGCAAAGGTTCAATGGGACAAATCAAGGTGGAGCAACCCAAAGAGCTTCAGCTTTGGCTGCTTTGAACTCTGCATTTAGTTCATCATCTCCAGCAAAATCCAGTTCTGCGCCAAGGTCTGCAGGGAAAAGTCCGGGTTCACAAAGAGCAGCTGCAATAGCTGCTTTATCTTCTGCTCTTAGTGCCGAAAAGAAGCAGCCACCTGAGGGCGGCTCTCCTCTCCGATTAAGTAGAACTTCATCAGTAGATGCTATTGCCCCTGGTATAAAAATCTTTCTTGTGCTTCTATTGTACTGTTATTTCCAGATCCGTCGCTTACCTATCAGATCGTATGCTGTGAATCCTATATTAGTGTGTCAAAACATGTTCTGTGTACTTTAAAAGTTCTTCCTACTCTATGTTTTATTTCAGAGACATTTCTAAGCTTTAGCCATTGGTATGTCACTAGCAGGGGTGGCAAACAGGCGGGGCAGGTCGGATATGGGCCTGTCAAAATGGGTAATGCAAAAACGGATAAATTATCCGACCCGACCCATATTTAATATGGATAAAAAGGGGGTTAACCGGCGTATAATATGGATATCCATATTATAATCCATGACTTATTAAATATGATCACTTTTGGGAGAATTCAGTCTCCCAAACTTGAGGAACCCCAAATTTGAGGCTTTACAATTGTAAAAGTTATTAGTATCCATTGGTTATCCATTTTCTAAGTGGATAATATGGTTTTTATCCATATTTGACCCGTTTTCATTAAGTTCATTATTCAACCCATTTTTTAATGGATAATATGGGTGAATAACTATTTTTTTTATCCATTTTGCCACCACTGTGCATTGATGTATGTTTTCATCGTGTTCTTTATTTGTTGATCAAAAAGTGTTACCATAAGAAATTGATGACTCTTACCTTTCAGTTAAAGATTATTGATGGGAAACCATTGCTAGCATAGAGTCGTTAGAAATTTCAACTTCTAAGCTGACCAGTATTACTTAATTGTCTTTAAAGCAAAATTCTTTGCTAAGTATGATATATATGAACGTTTTTTTCTTATTTCTGCCGAACAGGGAATGAAGTTTCTACTGCTGAGATTGAAGATTCTAAAGAAGTTCCAGAACGCAAGGAGATCGAAACAGTTGAGCCTGCAGAGACTGATGGGGAAGACGTGGGACCGAAGCCAGAACCAGAACAGGATGAGACTGGCAATGATAGTAGTCAAACTACATTTAGTTATGAACGACTGAAGGCTAAATCTGAAAATCCTGTCACCGGGATTGATTTAAAACGGAGAGAGGTTTGTGCTCAAGTATTGTTTACATTCCTACATTCTGATGAAAGTCAGTTCCTTTTTCTTATTTTTATTGATGGATTCTCAGGCTTATCTTTCTGACGAGGAATTCGAGTCTGTACTAGAAATGACAAAAGAAGCTTTCTATAAGTTGCCTAAATGGAAGCAAGATATCCACAAAAAGAAAGTTGATCTCTTCTAGAACCAAGATATCCACAATATATGGGTACATATTGCTTTGATTGGTACTTTCATTTTGCTGTCTGCTTTTATCAGAACCAAGCTTTTGGTGTTCTTGGTTTTTTTTTCACTTTGTCATGTCTGTTTGAAGAGTGATATATTTTGAGTTCTCTCTTATACTGTAGTTGAAAGTCAGCAGTCAGATCAATTCTTTGGTTTTCTAACTCATTATGTATTGAGGTCACTTTTGTCAATCATTTATTTGTTAATTAAAGGGTGTGTACAGACTTTACATTATTTATAACTGATGCAGTAGCTATCTGCTTCTGCTTTTGTTCAAGTTTCTTTTTCTTTCTTGTTTAGATGAATAGTTATTTTTTCCAATAGTATTGCTTGGAAAGTTCATTAGGTAGAATTACTTCGTACTTGGACCTGAAATATTGAATGCTGGAGCAATATTTAGTTCTACAATGTAAAGTAAGGATGTATATTGTATTGTGTATAGTTGAAAAAAAACATTATTGTTGAAAATTATTTGTTAGTGTTTGATTATGTGAATTATTAAAAACACATCAAAATATTTTTCATCTGAAAAAAGAAAAAAGAGTTTTTGTCACTATTGAAATGGAGAAGTCTCATTGCCTTTGAATATGTTTCAACTTGTTTTCTTAAAAAAAAATTATAAACAAAATACAGTTTACTTTGAAAGAATTGTATGTTATACCAAACATTGTATGTTTACATATAAACATTTTTGGACGACTACTTGCAAAAGATTATCACAACAATTTTTGGATAAAGTTTAAGAAAAAAATTCTGATAAAAAGGACCAAATTTACCCCTTTACTTTCGAATATTGTTTACATCTAACCTCCGTTATATTATTCAGTTAAATTTACCCCAACCATCAATAAAATTTTAAAAATTACCCCTCGGTCCGTCAGGTGACCCAAAATCTCCCAAATCATTATAGTTAAGTCATTTATTCTTCTTCTTGATCCACTATTTTTAAAATAGGTGGCATTTACCTACTTTCTTAATTGAAAAAAAAAGAAATAAGAGAAAGAAATATTAAAATAATACAGCGATTAGTAAACAAAGTATAGTAAATTGAAGAATCTAAAATTAGGTAGCTTGTCTAAATTTCAAAAATTTATAACACCTCATCTTTAATGAATTCGTTGCACCAAAGGCATGGAGATTTTGCAAGTACTAGCGATAGAAGTTAAAGTTTTTTGGAGACTTTGCATTGTCAAATTCAACTTTGCTTTAATCAAATACCTACGCATTGTGCACTTTTCAGTTAGTCGACCGAACTCTAAACTAACAAGACAATTACAAAATATACTTGAATATACATGTACATACATGATGAGCAATCGCATATAATACACAACAAATAGACCCACTGAATTCTGCAGTGTGTATATGGTTGAAAAATTATAATTTTTTTTAACCAATTCCAAACCCATTATCGCAAGAATAGAAGTGGGTGCAATGGTAATTAAAAATATCCATGAATAATTGTATAGTTTAGTACCTTTAGCATTCACATCAATAGTAATTTCTGAAAATAGTGGAACAAGAAGAAGAACAAGTGATGTAAACTAAAGGAAATTGGGAGATTTTGGGGTTGCCTAACGTACGGAGGGGTAATTTTTAAGAGTTTACTGATGGTAGGTGTAAATTTGGCCGGATAGTATAACGGTAAGGATAAATTTATCCGAATAGTATAACGGAGATTAAATGTAGACAATATCCGAAAGTAGATGGGTAAATTTGATCCTCTTCCCTTTGCAAAAATAAACAAAAAAAATGGCTTTCATCACTTATCAACGACGATGAAAACAACAAAGAAAATAAGCAAGGGAGAGTAAAAACATTGGGAAGTGGTTCCGGAGTTAAAGAAGAAGGGGGAAGCATAAAACGTCGAACTTCATAAAAATGGCCCTCATCAGCGGAACCACCAAAACCAGCGTCAAACAAGGCTTCAACCGACTCCATAGTCAGTGCATCAAATTTATCTTCTACGACAACAAAAGCGGCTTCCTCAAACTCATTAACAAGGCGAAGTTGAGTCTTAGTGGGATTGACTTGGGGACTGCTCTGATCACTTCCTGACTCACTTGCTTTTTGCTAGATTTAGTCCTCTTCTTGAGAGGACTAACGGGTTCGTCTTCTTTCTTGGAGTCAGATTTGTTTTTTGATAATCCTCTTCATAGCAGCCAACTTCAAAATGCGCTTCTGGGATTCATTAACCACGAGCCTATCAACTGAAACTCGAGGATGGTATTCTTGAAAGCCAAACCCCGCAAAAATACAGTGAATGATTGTACACGAAAAGGCAAAACTATGATTATTCTACTTATCTCCAGTTATTTTCATGGTGGCACTACACACACACACACACACACACACACACACACACACACACACACACGTATAATTGTTATAGTCATAACAGGAGAAAAGAAATCCAGAAAAGTTAGAAGGAACTTACAAGCGTAATTTCACTTCTCAGGGAACGAAAGATCAACGGGCTCAATCAGTTCTCGAGTGGTAATAACTACGGATCTACTATATCACACCCCCCCCCCGGGTCATGATCGTCTTCGGGAGATCAACAATTACCCGTTTACTACGAGCATAAAGAGTAAACATCTCGGCATATAAAAGCTTAGGGAAATAAAGATAAAGATGATGGCAAAGAGTATAGTTTAACGAAATCTAATTCGATAAGAAAGGGAGGCAGGTCATAACTCTGCAAACTATCGTGCCTATTTGAGCTAAGCAGATATTAAAATAATGACAGAACTCTTCAATTACCATGTTAATTGCAAGTTGGAACCCGAGAGTAAACGTGTAATGACCCGACAGGTCGTTTTGAGCTCTAGCACATCGTTTGGCGATTTGAAGCCTTGAGTAGCTTCACTTCAGGTATTATGACTTGTACGCGTGGTCGTAATTGAATTTCGAGAAGTTCAGAGTTGATTTGGATAGAAAATTCTAAATTCAGAAGCTTTAAGCTAGAAGAATTGACTAAGGTTTGAACTTTTAGGAAACGATCTCGGAATCGAGATTTGAAGGTTCGAATAGGTTCGTATGATGATTTCGGACTTGGGATACAAAAGCGAGGACTGTTGGTTTGAGTTGGAGCCGCACCTGCGATGGATTTCCGCAGGTGCGGAGCAGCAGAAGCGGCTAATGGACCATAGAAGGTCGTTGGCAGTGGGGTGTTTTTAATCCGAGACTTAGCCCATTTTTCTCACATTTTTATTTGGTTGGGCGATTTTTGGAGCTCTTGGAGGGAAGATTTTCATCATCTATGTCAAGGTAAGTGATTCCCACATATTGTGAGTTAAATATATGGATTCTATGAGGATTTAAACATGAAAACTAGTAGAAATTGTGGGATTTTGGTAGAAAACCTAGAATTTGGTAATTTTGGATTTTGACCATGATTTTGACCACGACAAGAGTGGGTTGCTCTAGTGGTGAGTACCCTCCACTTCCAACCAAAAGGTTGTGAGTTCAAGTCATCCCAAGAGCAAGGTGGGGAGTTCTTGGAGGGAGGCAACTGAGGGTCTATCGGAAATAGCCTCTCTACCCCAGGGTAAGGGTAAGTTCTGCGTACAAACTACCCTCCCCACACCCCACTAGTGGGATTATACTGGGTTGTTGTTATTGTTGACCATGATTTTGAAAGTGGAATTAGGACTAAAGTATATAATTGAGTTCGTAATGATATGGGTATAGTTTATTTTCAAAAACTATATATTTATATAATTGGCCCTTTGAGCTAAGTTGGGAATCATTATAAATTGTTAAATTATGGGTAATATGGTATATATTTATAGATTTGCACATTTGTTTGACTAATTTGAATTTTGGAGAGACAAGCATCGATTTGAGGTGTTAGAGTGGCGTTGGAGCCGGCTATGGAACTTCGGAGCGAGGTAAGTCTTAGGTCTAACTCTGTGAAGGGGAAACTACCCCTAGGTTATGTATCTGTTATGTGCTACTTGTTGCGGGGGCTAAGTACGCACGAGGTGACGAGAGTTCATGCGTAGCAAGATTCATATTATGTCCGGGTAGACTTAGGTTCCCGCCATGCTATAACTGTACTATATGAGTTGTCCCTTGTCTATTAAATTCCTTTATTTTACGTTACGACTTGAGACTAGACTTGCATAGAGTGATAGACTTACTGTTGTAGAGATTTGACGGGCTTCATGATCAGCCGCAGAATAATTGTACTCCTCTTACTAATTTCTCCCCTGCTATGCGTTTTCCTTGAAAGGTTTTCCTTAAAAATTTATATCTCACACATCTATTCGTGAGTGGGGTCAAGGACCCATTAAATATTCCTATTCTAACGGGATCAGGTCGTTCGCCTCGACAATATAATAGATATATATATGGTTCGTGTCGTTCGACCCTTGGCAGTGCACACATTATGATAGGATTGGGTCGTACGCCTCGACATTTCTATAAAATACTTTTATGAAATCGTGTGTAACATTTGACAAAAAGCCAGTGTATCTGTGAGCTTTTCCTAATTTGAACTGTGACGACCTATCTGGTGGGGTCCATTATATATATACCCCGATTGAGAAGGTAACTGCTTAGTGAGAGCTTGAGTTTACCGTTCAGAGGAGGATTGTACCTCGTATTTATATTAGTTCATATCGTTTATTTGCTCTATCCCATATTTATTTACTTCTTGCTATACATGTCTTATTAGACCACTAGTAAGTGTCAATGTCTAATTTGTATTCCAGACAAATGTTGTATTTGTTATATTTCCTAGTTGATGCTCATACACTTGTGACACCAGGGTTTTGGGGGTTCCTACGGGTTGTTCATTATTGTAGTTCGTGTAAATATTATCATTTACCCTGTAAATTCTATTTTATACTATTTAATTGATGGAAATTATTATTTCAAAATAATAAAACTGAGTAAACAAGTTGATCAATCACCGTTGGTTTGCCTGACGGCGGTATTAGACGTCATCATGACCTTTAGTAGATTTTGGGTCATGACAAAACGGGTACATATACACGAATGAGTAGCCTTCATGGTAACTGGTTTTTCGTTCATCATCTTGGGGAGATTCAAAAAGAAAATTTATTCTTCAATGGTAAACTTTTCGAACAATGAAAATATGCCCTGATTTGATAATAGGATAATTGTCAGTAGGATCGCTACGACCACCCTGACCACCCCTCTTGTTCCATTTGGTGCAAGTAACAGCAAAGTTAAATTGTTTGGGTATAATCTCAAAAAATAAGGGTTCGACTAAATGCACTACATTATGTCATTTGGCGGTTTGAGGCCTTGGGTAGCTTCGCTTCAGGTGCTAAGACTTGTACGCGTGGTCGGAATTTAATTTCGGGAAGTTCAGAGTTGATTTGGAAAGAAAATTCTAATTTCGGAAGCTTTAAGTTGGAAGGATTGACTAAGGTTCGACTTTTGGAGTAAACGACCTTGTAATCAGGATTTGAAGGTTCCAACAGGTTCGTATGATGATTTTGGTCTTAGGAACGTGTCCGGATGTTGATTTGGAGTTCCGTAGGTCATTTCGGCGTCAATTGGCAAAAGTTGAAAATTGGATGATTTTTGGAGAGTTTTGACCGGGAGTGAACTTTTTGATATCGGGGTCGGATTCCGATTTCGGAAGTGGGAGTAGGTCTGTAATATCAATTATGACTTGTGTGCAAAATTTGAGGTCAGTCGGACTTGATTTGATAGATTTCGACGTCGAATATAGAAGTTTGAAGTTCTAAAATTTATTAAGCTCGAATTGGGGTGCGATTCATGATTTTGATGTTGTTTGACGTGGTTTAAGGCTTCGACTAAGTTCATAATGTATTTTGGGACGCGTGGGTGTGTTTGGTTAAGGTCTCGGGGGCCTCAGGTGAGTTTCAGATTGAAAATGGATCGAGTTTGGACATGGAAGAACTGCTGAAGCTTAAGGCTTCTGGTGCGATCGCACCTGCGAGGTTATGGCTGAAGGTGCGAGACCGCAGAAGCGGCCCATGAACCGCATAAGCGATGGGGAGTGAGCTGGATGGGATTCGTAGGTGCGACAAATATGCCGCACCTGCGGACTCGCAGATGCGGACGGAGGAGCGCAGAAGCGGAAGTGGCCTGGGCTGGTCGATCGCATGTGCGAGTGTTGTNGAGTCCGCAGATGCAGAGGTTTTCCACATAAGCGGATGTGCACCTGCAGTTGGTTGGCCGCAGAAGCGAAAAAGGCTGGCCTTGGGGAAAGCCGCATCTGCAAGGAAGTTTCCGCAGAAACGACTACTGTTCCGTAGATGCGAGAGATCGTTTGGCAGATGTGTTCTTTTAAAAGCGGGATTTGGCCATTTTCTCTCATTTTTCACTTGGTTGGGGCGATTTTGGAGAATTTCAAGGGGAGATTTTCATCAAGCAACACAAGTTTTGGATTGACGGGTATTGGTTTGAGGTGTTAGAGAGGCTTTAGAGCCGGTTATGGAACTTCAGAGTGAGGTACATATTTGCCTGGTGGTCTTTTGGGCGCAGAGGCGCGGCTACTGTAGAGACTTTACCGTGAGCTGCATTTCATGTCACGATCTGCAGTCTGTAGAGTCTCCATCAGAGTTATTTATATTTTTCTGTCTAATTTGTATTCCAGACATATGTTGTATTTTATTATATTTCCTAGTTGATACTCATGTACTTGTAACATCGGATTTTGGGGGTTCCTACGGGTTGTTCATTTTCGTAGTTCGTGTAAATTTTATTTCACACTTTTTAATTAATAAAAATTATGATTTTAAAGTACTAGGATGAGTAATTAGATTGATCAATCACTGTTGGCTGGCCTGATGAAGGTGTTAGGCGCCATCACGATCTTTAGCGGATTTTGGATCGTGACAGAAGACCTAGTAGTAGAGAAACCCGCTGCTCGCCATGGAACCAAGATTGCAAAGTTTTCTGCCTTTTCTCCTAGACCTAACGGGGGCCTCGACGTTTGGTAACTCATCGACTATAATAGACTGACAAGGAGAAACTTCAGGGTTAGAAGACGCATTTGAGAAGCCATGACCGTGATGAAGAAAATAAAGTGAAGGAAAAGCACGAAAGAAAGCGAAGAAAGAGCTTAAAGTAGTAAGAGAAGGAAATGTTTGAGGGCTTCGTATTTATAGGAGAAATATGTCATTATGAACCGTCATCATAGGACCGTCACTTCGAAGTTATAGAGTCGTCAGTGCCTGGAAAAGCATTATATACTGCAGAGCCAATCGCATTATGCCACATGTCTCAAGCATTAAATAAAAGCGGCGCATGTCACTTTTACTATCTGCAACATATCACTAGAATTTCGGGATTAAGCGACGAATACTCCTATAGTTCTCGCTAAAAAAGTTCTTTATCACTTTCTGAATAATTATTCGAGATTATCCTGAAAGTGGGGGATTTTATGTATTGGTTAAAAATAGTCTTACCATGTGGACTAATCAAGTCTTTGACACATGTCAAGAATATTAGAAGACTCCATAAAAGTTGAATCCGATATCAATCGAAATTTAGAATTATTTAGTATGAGGCATTATTAGTATCGTAACCATTAGTACCAGAATTTCTTATAATGAAACCATTCATGAGCCAACACGAAGAATATATCGTGAATACGAAAAAGAGGAGAATCAGTCAATCCCGAGTAAAGCAAGATTCGGTATAATTCCTTGATCAACTACTGATTCATAGCATAACGTGCAGAA